TGATAATATATTTAAAAAAAAAACAATTATAATACACACACGCGCGCGCACACACACACACATATATATATATATATATATAAAGAAATATAGTCTTAAGGTGTGCTATATTTATGGAATAAAGTGCTCAATATTAGAGATAGAGCGTGTGTAAATATAAAAGTGAACATAGAAGTCAACACTTAGAGGCGACAGTCTGTTTCATGCTATATGCAATCGTCAGGCCATGACGATTGTATATAGCATGAAACAGACTGTCGTTGACTAATGTTCACTTTTATATATATATATATATATATATATATATATATATATATGTGTGTATGTATATGTGTGTGTGTGTGTGTATATATATATATATATATATATATATATATATATATATATATATATATGGGATATTTATGCATCATTTTTACTGAATTGAATGACGCCGACTGACATCAGGGTCACTTTAGTGTTGGGAAAAGATACCCTCCTCTCGATGCTTACACCTTTTCTAAGTGGTCTTCATGAGCCTCTCTTTTGTTGTGTGTTTTTTTTTCTATTAGATACACCAAAGACATGCAAAAGAAAACAACATAAGAAGTATCAATTGAGGAGTAAAAGAAGAGAATCAGATTTCATTTTAATTGGCTTTTCCCCTTTTTAAGATCGACAATTTCGTAATTAATTATCTCCCCTTTTTCCTTAGCGTTTCTATGACTACACAGCTCTTCAGAAATGTCTAAAACGTGTGACGTAATTATTAATTATTCAATTGTACCACTTATAAGAAGTTTTTTTTTCTGGCATAAGAAGCAAAATTCAAGGCTAATAACAAGGAACTGTTTATCACAAGTGTCATCTCTTGCATAAATAACTTTCAAAGAGTACCGAAAGAAATATTAATCTCATAATGTTATTTTTTTTCTTTAAACAAACGTTTAATAAAATCAAATGGCTGTTGAGCAACACTTGTTTCTAGAAATTAGCTGCAATTATTTTTTAAAAAATCTTTATCTTACTGGCTTTATCGTTTCCCTTGCGAGTTTTTTCGTGTTGCCTTTAGCAGTTACGATTGTTTTCTCCGAATAAAACAATCCCGTTTTTTACTGAACATTGGCTAAAAGAAATCTTCTACTCAATTTGAGCAGACATGCAGCCGGTGTCGGATTTAGACTTAGTGAGTTCCTAAGCTACATAAAGCTTGAAGGCCATTGCTTAAAAAATATGCAATATTTTCAAAATCACTGTAACTTTTTGAGATGCCTGCGAATTGTAGCTTGTTTCTGACTAAATACGACCTTGAATGAAATACATATGTAGGCATAAATGCTTGCATTAAATATATGCCGAGTTTACCCACCAATCTATCTATCTATCTATCTATCTCATCGGGCACAGTCAACATCATCGTGTCCACAGGCTTAGGACACGGTTAATTTGAATCTTTTCAATCGCTGTATTGTATGTTTCACCAGGGCTACATACGGCTTTGAATTCACGGTTTTTCTCCTCGACATGTTCCTGCCAACGGCAAGATAGCCCTGTCTACCCTACTATTTAATCCATAACTGGAGGAAAAATATATAGATTCACATCTTTCCTAATGGTATTTGTGCGAAAGGAGATGCAACGAACTCGACTGATATTCGAACGTTCTGGGCCGCTGACCATTAAATTAACCGCACATTCAAATGATGTCAGGTTTATAATATTATTTATTAACTACAAAAATGGAATGCCATAGTCTTTTCACGTTTCTGTGGAAAAAATGAATTTCATTGCAAACAAATGAACACCATTTTTACTTGAAATTGCAAGTACTGGTTCAAGTGTGGGTAATTCTGACTACCAAATGTGAAATTATTTTTATTTGACGCCATATTATAATCACGCCTTATTTCCTGGCAACGAAGCATCATTTTTTGTGTTGGTTTGGGATTCAATCAGATTCATTTGGTAAGTTTTAGTGATTCTCAAACTCAATGAAAAAAATGAATAGAAAAATAACCGGTTTTCTTCTAAAATTTTACCATTCATATATCCTAATTAATGTATAGATCATAGCATTCACTGTGAAAGATTTTTCATACCACCTCTCTCTCTCTCTCTGTCGTGATATCTCTTCCGAATGTGGATGATCAAGGCTCTCCACAGCTTTATTTTAGTTCGTTACTTTTGTGATGTCAATGAACACTCGTTGCCACTTTTGAGATATCAACAAATACTCGTTGTCACTTTCATAATGATCGTTGTAGTAGAGGCTTTGTAATCGCAGATATAACTATAGTAACGCCGTTGAACAATACTGGTGTCAGACGCCTTCGAATAACACTCGCACTAGTAGTACTGGCTCGATAATACTCGCTCGAACAGTAATCCATGTAGTGATCCGAATAGAGAATAGTATAGTGAATAGAGTAAAGAATTGCGGTCCCTATAGTGATAGAGTAGAAATACAGATCCGAATAGTGATAGATTAGAATGATGATCAAACTAGATGTCACGTAACTTCCTATATATGGGTTTCCTCTATGGTCACGTGATTCAATTAATTCAATAATGGTATCGCTTGTGTTTGACACTGACGATCTATGTTCAAACTCAAGTGTCGGCAACGACACTTTATTTCTATATAACAGTTACTTTCAGTAATACTTGTTATTTTCCGGACTCTTGTCAGTAGCCTTTGTGGTACCTTTTCCTCTATCCATTTGCTTAAAGAGGTCAAGATCTTTTCTTCTATTTCAATTACCTTCCATACGCCCTGTGAATGTTAAATTCTCCAAGTATCTCTTCTTCATTATGTGTTTCTCATTTATTTTTAAAATTCAATAAGCACCTCGCGAATTCAAGTTTAGGACTATGAACGGACAGTAGATGAATCTCTGTATGCATACACTGAAGAATTGTAGCCTTAAAACATTATTTGTTTATGTGTGAAAATTTTTACAAAAGGTGAATTTCATGGAGATTACAATAAAGAAAAAATACACACACACACACATTAACTACTTCGGGGATGTAGTTTCATAATCATTCCATTACACTATGGGATGTGGTCGTATTCTTTCGGGGTCTTAAAATTGTGATGATTTTCACTTTTATCTTTAGGCGCATGCCATTTTCTTAGTTCCTATGCGTTTGTGCATTTTTGTGTTGAATATTAAAAGAGCCTGACTGAGAGGGTGAAAAATCATACTTTTATGATAGAGACATATGGATTTTCCGATGCTTGAGAGTGCAGGAATGGATTTTAACACCAGGGTACCATCTGCTGGCGCTTTGCGCTATCAACTCACGCTGTGATAGTGAAGTCACAAGAAAAAAAAAAGATTAAAGTTGGAATGGACGCTCCTCAAAGGTTTATTGTGCTGTTTTAATGTTGACGAGTTCTTTTCTTACTGGAAATTACTTCAATGGGTCGTCAACAGCATAGGAAATAGACAGAAGAACAATATAAAGCACGGACAGGTGGAGCCAAGATGGTTACCGTTCGTGAGAGCAACTTGTGACAACAGGAAGCTTACAACATAAAATTATGAGTATATTATGAGTTATTGTGCAAATCTAAAGTGATTTATAGCCAGACGTTGATTTACTGAGAATATTTCAACCAAATGTTAAGCAAGAAATCCAGGGTAAAATAGCAAACGAAGACATTCCACATGGTAGAATTTTTTGTGCTTTAATAAAATTCGATAAAATGGTGGGAACGGAATATTGTCTGCTTACAACTGTATCTTTGTCTCTCTTTCGTTGAACAAATTTTATTTGCTGTTGTTGTGCGTAGTTAAAAAAATATGTAATGATTTTTTACTCTTTCAAATAGGAAGAGATTCATTAATATTTGATTAATGCCTCGTAGGCGTCTGCTGAATAAATTCTTCACAAGTGACTTGGAATTACTTTTACTTTGCAAGCTGCTGAAAATCAGACAATGTTTTAAAAAAAATTGCAAGTAGCAAAGGGGAAATTTCTAAAATTCTATTTTTAAAAAATTAAAAAAAATGAAAACTTGCTGAAAAAAATCTTGAAATGAATTCCAAATATTTAACATGCTTCTGAGGATTTTTTTTTTTTTCAAATTTGTTATTTTTGTTTAAGATAAAAAAATAAATTCTTTTTCATGTGTATGTTTTATAAAAATCGTTTCTCTACCTCTCCATATTTTCGACACTTAAATTCGTTCTACAACTTTGTGGGCTAAGAATTCCAGTTTTAATGCTTTACAAGTTTAATTATATAAACACGGAAGCGTTTGGCTAATTTGTTTGTTTGGATACAAAAAAAAGTCATTTATTGTTCTTTTATGTAACCTCAAGACGTTGAAAATCAATGTCTCTCCACTACTTCCCATCCCTTGTAGCTCTAAGCAATATTTGTCCTCTTACTATCTCTCCCTGTTCATGCCCAGTCATCTATTTAAAGCTCATTAAATATGTTACTCGTTTCTTTCACATTTTTGTTAAAACTTCCTCGTTGCTAACATGTTCCGTCTATGGGATTCTCAGCTTCCTTTTGTAGAACCACATTTCCGTTACCTGAAGTTTCCTTTTCATCTGTGAGAAAAATTTCCAGCTATTCACTGCCATATATGAGGATTGATATTACATTTGTTATCTGTTTCCAGCGAAAGATGCCTTCCAGAAACTAAGCCCAATATTGAGAAACAGGAAATATGTCATTTGCTTATTATATTTATTATTTTGTTCATAATTTATAAAAGTAAATTTAAAAATTCATAATCTTTTAAATTTACTACTAAAGACTATAAGTACAACGGTTAACAAAATAGTTCGCTAAACTAACAAATCCCTCACCCACTCAACAAGCCATTTCTATAGAAAAATCCATGGGTGTGGTGCTTGCTTTTATAGGTAATGAACACGTACTTGTATCTGTGTATATGTGGATGGGTATGGTTTATAATTATTGCTTATATGTGGATGTCATCTGTTGAGACATTAGCGCATACCAGAAGCTGAGAAGGATTTCTTTTAAGAGGCATACACAATTAGATAGATAGATAGATAGATAGATAGATAGATAGATAGATAGATAGATGCATTCATGTGTTCTTTATTATCCACTCAAGGGTTTTAGGGAAAATCAGACACTATTCAAATAATCGTAGTAGAAAAGAAAACGAACAATGCGTTTGATATCAATGGTGACACAAGCAGTCAAATTGGTGGGTGTTGAAAGAGAATAAACGAAGAATAATACAAATCCTGTTTGTTCTAAAGAATGCTGTGTCAGTCAAGAAACACAATGATAGATTGTTTAGAAAATAGTGGCGGCTTCTGTTTTGTTTCCCCATGATATTCAGTATGAGAGCCACAAAACGATTACAAATATTACAGAACTAAAGTTTCAACACGTGCGCTGTTTTTCAATATATTCTACCGCAAATACTAATTATTTAATATTTTGTTTTGGAAATATTAATATTTTTGGAAATGTTGTACAAGTTGTGATTAGCAGACAGTAACATTCCTTTGTCAGTTTTTATTACCACAAGGAAAGGAGTATCAAAATTGATACTGATAATTTCGTTTCCGAGTGTGGTGGTTGCGTTCTTGAATTTGCCAAAGTTTTAGCCCAAAATGACAATAGCAGTCAACACAAAGCCACCTTATGCGAGAACAATGGTTAACAAATTGGTTGTTCAGGCCTTGAGTTCGATCTAATGTTCGAGCAGTGGAAACGGAAACAGGAAACAGCGAACCGAGTTTGAATTCCGACCGAGTTGGTCACATTCAGTTTCACAAAAATAACCTTACGAAAGGTATGTATCCATCTCTTCATTCCTCAGCTATGGGTTAAATAGCATATCAAACCCTCTAGCTAATCGAGGACAGCGCTGAAAAAAAACCGCACCTTGGGACAGTGGTATGTAGAGCCGATGAAACGCATACTGTACAGTGTACAAACATTGAAAAAGATTATGGCGTTTACCGCTATGGACTCTATGATCTTGACTGAGGTTCAATTAAAAAAATTTTTAGTCCTCACTTCATGTACTGTGCCAGACTATACTAAACATAGTGAACCCATAAAACAATTAATGAACTTAATTAAGCAATCTTTTTCGTTGTTGACATAATTAACTATTATCGCTGTCAAATGTTGACGGATGTCCGTGCGGATAGCGATTCAGAATGAGAACTCAGAGAGCTGTTTTGGAATTCCAACCGAGATTTTTACATTCACCTACAAACTTTGGAAATGTATAAATCTATCTCCCTCAGCTATGGATCAAATAGTATAAATTATATCATGTTAAATGATATCATGTTAATGCAATATTCACTCACAAAAAATAATTTTTTTTGCAATATAAAATACGGTAATTTTCTAAGCGGGGCTTAGATGTGTCAGGCACAAGACCGAAAGTAAGGGGCACACAGTGAGGATCGAACTCCCTACTCAGTCATAATTGTTCTAGTAAAACACGTTTGCTTACAATTACAACACGTCGAGGTGCTAAAAAGATTTTCTGATCGTAACTTAAATGTGGCACAGGGCCGAAAGTGTGGAGTACTCAACTCAATAATCAGTCGTAACTAACCTAGAGAGACAAGCTTGTTAACTATTACAACATGTCGAAGTGCCGTCTTGTAATCTAAAATATGTTTCGGCTTTAAATAATTGTCATAATCAACTGTCAAAAGTTCAGATTTGAGCCTAAATAAAACCGGATTTTATAATACTGATTCTCTTAGCAAACAATCTCTCTCCTCATGGAAGACAATTTTGACTCTGTGTTGCGTGAATATTATATGACAGTCGTGTCTGTTTTTGGAGTACTTTCCAATTTCCTTCGTTAGAACTTATTAATGTATTTTCTTAAAATAGATTTTCGGCAAGCGTGGAGCAACAAATAATTTTGGCATAGCATGAAACAGGATAAAATGGTTTCTACATCCGTTTCATAAACGGAGACAATTCTCAAGTACGACCCAGACACAATAGTCTTTGCAGACACACATAAACGGGAAATGGCTTTACGATTTGTTATTATTTAAACCGAATGGATTAAGTGAAGAGCAAACAATTTCTTAGAAGCATTTTGCCAAAATCACTTTAGCAAACCTTAAATGACATTGAAAAGTAGACACGATTTTAGTATCCGTTCTTTATATATATATATATATATATATATATATATATATATATATATGCGTGTGTGTGTGCGCGCTCGCGCGTGTGAGTACGTGTGTATGTGTCATGTGTGTGGTATAGATATATGCCTGCTTGCAAATAAATACAAGGAGACATAAAACGTCAGAAATAATATAAAGTACAAAATAATATTTAATATATATATATATATATATATATATATATATATATATATATATATATATATAATGTTTAATATCTCAGAAAAGGTAGAGTGGTGTAAGAATGAATTAAAATAAACAAAAATATAGCAACTTATCTGTAGATCGATTTCGTTTTCAAAGTCATCATGGAAGCGAAATTCGACGAGTTGCTGTGTTTTTTGTATTTTTATTTTATTTGATTCTAATTCAATCTAATATATATATATATATATATATATATATATATATATATATATATTTGTGTGTTTGTATATGTATGTGTGTGTGTCGTTAAAGACGACTGACATGATATTATGATTAAGCTTTTTATTTAATTTTACTGGTGTTCTTACTCCATCTGCAACATACTAATAGAAAATACAAGTATAATAATCTCATCCACATATAAAAAAAGACTAAAAATAATGGAATCTTTAATAATAAAAAGGGAAAATCCAACCCTCAATAACATTAACTATGAGCACGGCCACAAATTGCTAACCGTGTTAGAAAAATAAGACATTCCTGTAATTTTAGGCACTTACATAAAAAACACACATAAGTTAAAAATAAAAATCAGACTCGATAATGGTTAAAATAATAGCCGAAAGTGCTCGGATATGCAGAACTTTTGGACAGTTTTCGTACACTTTGTGCTCAAAAATGAAAACACTTGTACTAAAAATTGAATAAAAACCGTGTACAAAAAGCATGATTGCTACCCCAAAATATATATATATATATATATATATATATATATATATATATATATATATATATATATATATATATATATATATGCTTGTGTGCGATAGAAAGATAAGGTGCTGAAAAGTTTTCAGGACGACATACATCCCAAAAGTAGCATTTCCGTGATCAAACATCAGACTACTGATTTTGGGACGTGAGTCGAGAACTTTTCAGTACCCTCACTCATATAAATTGATTGTTCCTCAAAAGTATTTAAAAAAAAGCTGTTCTCAGCTGTTGTTGTTGTTATTCTTAATGTCTGTTTACTTGAATGTTTGCACCTGCCATAATTTTATCATATTGTTCAGAGTTTGAGAGCCAAACTGTGAACATGTAACATACTGGAGAACCTCAACCAAAGATACTACGTTGACTTTCTCTTGGATTCTACATATCAAGAAATGTGTCAGAAACAGATATAGACTGCAATTTTTAAAGATTTTTTTTTTTTACAAGTACATAGATAGAGCGGCCACAGTGTACATTGGGCATGAATTATATAAGTTATCTTAAAGAAAAATAAAACAAATCAACTCGATATAACCACCCTCCTCCTTTTTTTTCATAAGTCTTGCTTTTCTCAAAGTTATGTAGCACAACAAACTGAGACAAACCAAAATCCATATATCACATTTTTTTTCTTCCTCAAGTAACCTTTATCTTAAAAGTCATTCACAACAGTTAATTTTCCATAGTTAACTAAATTTAATGTTCCTCTCGTGAGCTTGTGAAAACAGAATCTTTTGACACGTCAGCATCTACGTCGTTTGTAGAATCCAGTTTCTATTTTTTGATTCTTCAATTATATATTTTTTGTCTATTCACGGGAAGATAATTACACTAGAATTTTCGAGCAAGTATCTTATTACGATGAATATTTTCTAAACTGTAAAAAAATGATTTTTATTACTTTTACTTCCAGCGAATAATTTAAAATAAGAAAATCTTTATTATACAGTGTAACAGCCCAGATTACCCCCTTTCCAGAATATATTCGGATATAGTTTAGCCTAGTCCAGAATAAGAATACGGGGGTCGGCTGAAAAGGTCATATGCTGACCACAATATAAATGTAAATAGACACACCAGTTGGTAAACTAAAAACATGCTGTTGTATTCTGGTACACTTGCATGTCTTTTACTCTGCTTACATTTCTATCTTGGTCAGCCTACGAACATTTCAGCCGACCCTCGTAAAGTAACTCATACCTCGGGGTATAAAATAGCCCAGTATAAACTATACAGCCCTACCCAGCCCAGTTTATATCCACTTTAAAATTATGATCAACAACTCTACATCTGAAGTAGAATGTTATGAAAAATAACGACTCCTCAATGATTTGGACCAAAATTAATAGACATCCAAAAGTTAGGCCCACTTTTGTGCAAACCAAGAAATTAGAATGAATTTGAGGGCTGTAGAGTGCACAAAAGAAATCTATGGACGTTGGATTTTAGTCGCTGAATGATCCTCGTCTATCATCTTTGTATCTAATAACATGCATTGTATTACATCTGAAAAGTAGGGACATATTCAGGCCTAGAGAATGAGTATATTTGACATAGACTATTTTATACCCGGGAAGTTTAAACCAGGTTTATCCTACTTACACCACGTGTATAAAGAAGCCTAAATTAGAATACCTTCAGATATATTCTAGGCTGGGGATATACTCTAGGCTTTTACACCAGTTCATGTATCAACTTCTAAAGGGTAAATTCTGTCAGAAATCAATATTGTGAGCATAAATTTGCTGATGCATTGTAACAGAAATAATACGATCACTGCACATAGAGAAAGAGACAAGTAACTTTAACTTTAACAATAATTACTGATGTTAGCCAAGTTCTACAGATTAATTTTAGTTCTGTTTTATTTTTGTTATCCAGACATGCACTCACTGGCCACTTAATTAAGTACATGTGAACAAATGTTCTTTTAGACAAAATTATCTGATGACGTGGCAGCAATTTAATAGTTATATGCATTTAAA